AACATTAGCAAAATGAAAAAAGAACCAACTGTATGGGAAAACAGATTTGCCAGTGATATCTCAGACAAGGGTTTGGTCTCCAAAATATATAAAGAACTCACATGACTCCACAGCAGGAAGACAAACAATCCAATTAAAAAATGAGCAAAGGACTTGAACAGACACTTCTCCAAGGAGGACATACAGGGCCCAGAGACATATGAAAGGATGCTCGGCATCACTAGACATCAGAGAGATGCAAATTAAAACCACAATAAGATACAACCTCACACTGGTCAGAATTGCCATCATAAAGAAATTGACAAACAATAAGTGCTGGTGGGGTTGTGGAGAAAAGGGAACCCTACTGCACTGTTGGTGGGAATGCAAACTGGTGAAGCCTCTGTGGAAAACAGTATGGGATTTCCTCAAAAAACTAAAAATGGAATTGCCTTTTGACCCAGTAATTCCACTGCTGGGTTTATATCCTAAGAATCATGAAACACTAATTCAAAAGAACCTATGTACCCCAATGTTCATAGCAGCACAATATACAATAGCCAAGTGCTGGAAGCAGTCTAGGTGGCCATCAGTAAATGAATGGATCAATAAACTATGGTACATTTACAGAATGGAATACTATGCAGCAGAAAGAAAGAAGGAGCTTTTACCCTGTGCAACAATATGGATTGAACTGGAAGGTATTAGGCTAAGTGAAGTAAGCCAAGTGGTGAAAGACAAATACCATATGATCTCTCCTATAAGTGGAACCTAATTAACAAAACAAACTGACAAGCAAAATATAGCCAGAGACATTGAAATCAGTAGCTAACTGACAGTAACCAGAGGGGAGAGGAGAGGGAAATAATGTGGGAAAGAAGGGAAGGGTACATAAATGAACATGAATGAGGGACCCATGGAGGGAGCCAAAGGGGGGGTGGGATTGAAGGTGGGAGGTGGGCATGAGTAGGGTGGGGGAAAGTGGTGGTGGTAAAATGGGAGACAACTGTATTGAACATCAATAAGAAAAGGGAAAAAAAAAGAAAGACTAGGACATGTTTAAACAGCATTTTATATATGTAAAAAATATCCTTGTGCCCTGGCTGGTGTCACTCAGTGGATTGAGTGCGGGCTGGGAACCAAAGTGTTAGAGGTTCAATTCTCAGCCAGGGTACATGCCTGGGTTGCAGGCCATGGCCCCCAGCAACTGCACATTGATGTTTCTCTCTCTCTCTCTTTCTCCCTCCCTTCCCTCTCTAAAAATAAATAAATAAAATCTTTAAAAATATATCCTTGTAATTATATAATTACGGCTACCACAATTTTCTTTTGCTGTATTTCTAAGGGAAGAATTTTGTTCTTTATTTTAAGATATATGGTACTGGGCCAGAAAGTATTTTCAATTTAGAAAGAGAGAATTTAATGTTGAGTCCTGCTTTATTTTGCTAGTTATATGGGTCAAATCATTAACCTCACTGAGCATCCTTCTGTATGAAAAATAATGGAGTAAATACCTTAATTACTTTACAGGGTTATCCACATCAAATAAAATTATATATATATGAAATCATTCTAGCTTTAATTAATCACTGGTCACTAAATTTAATAAACTCTTAAAGCATAGTTATTTACGTACGACCCCTATATTTAAACTAATTCTACTTTTGAAGATGAACAAGATTTAGGAAAATAATACTGGTCATTTTCATCCTTCTACTGGTAAAAGTACCAATAAGAAAGCAGGAAGAAATATGCCAAGAAGAACCCTTTTCAAACCACCAGTGTGTACCTGGAGGGAGATCTGAAAATGTCTAGTGTTTGGTGGCACTATATTATGAGGCCCCAGTGAATTATTATTCTAAAAGCAGAAACAGAACAAAAGAATGGAAGCCAGAAGTATCACACTATCTGACTTCAAATTATACTACAGAGCCACAACAATCAAAGTAATGTGGTACTGGCAGAAAAACAGACACACAGACCAATGGAAAAGAATTGAGAGCCCAGAAATAAAACCACACGTATATGGGCAAATAATTGTTTAAAAAGGAGCCAAAAACATACAATGGGGAAAAGAAAACCTCTTCAATAAATGGTGCTGGGAAAAAATGGAAAGCCACATGCAAAAGAATAAAGCTAGATTACAGTTTTTCCCATGTACAAAAATTCATTCAAAATGGATCAAAGACTTAAATATAAGATCTGAAACAATAAAGTACATAGAAGAAAACATAGGTACTAAACTTATGGATCTGGGTCATAGAGAACATTTTATGAATTTGACCCCACAGGCAAGGGAAGTAAAGGCAAAAGTAAATGAATGGGGTTACAGTAAACTAAAAAGTTTCTGTACAGCAAAAGAAACTGACAACAAAGCAAAAAGGCAATCAATCAAATCGGAGATGATATTTGCAAACAATAGCTCTGAGAAAGGGGTAATATCCAAAATATATAAAGAACTCATACAACTCAACACCAAACAAGCAAATGATCCAATTAAAAAAAATGGACAGAGAACTTGAACAGACACCTTTCCCAAGAAGACATACAACAGCCAACAGATATATGCAATAGTGTTCAATTCACTACCTATCAGGGAAATGCAAATCAAAACTACAATAAGATATTGCCTCACACCTGTTTGAATGAATATTATCAACAAGTGTTGGAGAGGTTGTAGAGAAAAAGAAACCCTCATTCACTGTTGGTAGTAATGTAAACTGGTACTGCCACTATGGAAAACAATATAGCAGTTCCTCAAAAACTTAAGAATAGAGTTACCATATGACCCAGCAATCTTCTGGGTATTTAACCAAAAAACTCAAAAACATTTATTGGTAAAGATATATGCACCCCTATATTTATTGCATAATTATTCATTGTGGCCAAGACATGGAGACAACCAAAGTGTCCTTCAGTGGATGATTGGATAAAGATGTGTACAATGGAATACTACTTAGCCACAAGAAAAGATGAAATACTGCCATCTGTGATAACATATATGAGCCTTTAGAATATTATGCTAAGTGACATAATCAGAAAAAGCTAACAACTGTATGATTTCACACATATGTGGGATATAAAACTGAAACAGTTTAGTGGTTACCAAAGAAAAGACAAGTAGGAAGGTAGTAAAGGGTAAAAGGGGCCAAATATATGGTGGCAAGAGGATTTGACTTTGGGTGGTAGGCACACAATGTCCATTGTGTATGTATACAGATTATGTATCATAGTAATGTACACTTGAAACCTATGTGATCCTATTAACCAATATCACCCCAATAAATTTAACTTTTAAAAAATGGACACCAAATTATGAACATGACCTATCTGCCCCATGATTTTTCAAGGATCTCACCTCAAGAATTATCTGTGATCTGAAAATGAAACTATGAAAAATGCACAGAAGTTGGCACCCTCTTTTCCCTTAATGCAAAAATATATTTTACTTGGCTGATATCATAAAATTAATGAATTTATTCATAACAAGCAGAATCAATAAACTATAATCTAAATCTAGTTTACTATTTATACAAGTGAATAATTTCAAATGATTCACAGGGCAACTAAAAAAATTCCAAATTCTAAATGTAAAAAAAATAGCCTACCATTTATTCTAAGCTGCATCCCTCCCCCAACAATCCTTCGTATTATTGTGGTCTCAAAATGATTTGGACAAAGACTAGGAAGGATATATAAGCTTATTTATATGTCACTTTCATGCTACCTTTTACTGATAAAACCACGGCAATAGAGAGTCCCTCCTTATAACTTTGTAAAAACCTAAAGAAGACCAAATTTACTGCTGCTGCTATATATGTAATTCCTAATCATTTCATATACTTTTTAAATGATAAAAACCTCTCCCATAAATATACTGTCATTATTGTTATTGCATAAAAACAAAGTGTCTACTTTTTACTGCAAGAGAGCACTCTGCAATTCTTAACACAAAACTTTCTGGAAATAAACTCAACTTTTGGCCCTACAGCCTTAGATCATAATATTTCTCATCAGAATGATTAATCTTTACAAAAAGCCAGGAAAGGACAGAGCCACCCACTTTTATATTTTCATTCTTTGAGAAAAAAATCCCAATCTAGCTCATGAACTAGAACCATCATTTGTAAAAAGTATGTAATCCCTCAAGAGTACCTTTTGATTATAAGATTAACAAGATCATTATCTTTCTTATTTTTTGCACTGAGAAAAGTATATTGACATTAAAAGTGGTTCGAGCTTAGTTTTACTTAGAAATCTGATAAACCTTTGCCCAGAAACCAACTAACCTTTAATAACAAAGTTACTTCATTTTTTCCTTTTCTGCTTACTTGAAAGAACATAAACAACCAAGTATAACTTTTTAAAAAACCTCCTCCATTGATACAGGACTCATCTTCATTCAACCTTGTTATATCCATGGATTAGAGTCTTGGAGAGTATGTGTTTTTCAGGTAAGATATTAAACAAGGTATGAAGCTTCCTACAACTGTTGTAAGCCATCGTGTGTGCGTGCACACCCAAGCACCTGTGTGGCTGCTTAAGTAGTAAAACAAAAGGATCACTGCAGACAAATGGAAAGGGAAAGAGGAAAAAGTGTGAATAAGTAGAAAGAGAAACTTTCTCCAGGCTCAGGGAGTCTGCTATTGGCTATAAGTAAAAGCTTTAATCTAAAAGGAGCCAGAGTTGAGATGATTCTTAAAGATTTGGGTTTTATGCCTTTCCATCATTATTTTCTTCCCTCACTTATGAACAGCTTAAGTGGGAGTAAATGAGTTCTAACCTTGAGGAAACTTTGCTCTAGAGAAAAGCAGAAAGTATTAATTATTCAAGCTGAGATATGAGAAGGACAGGAGTCATTTAAAAATAGGGTGGGGTGAAAATGGGGAAGGAATATGGGTGTGAGGAGGGCAAATAGAGGGAAAAGTATAGGAAAGTAAAAGAAAGAGGGTGCTGAGAAAATAGTATGGAAACTAAAATGATAAAACAATCAACTTGTTCACTTAACATAATTCATTTACCTGTGTTATTTTTTCTATCCCCTGGAAGTTGTGCTTTTCAAAATGTTCTGCTATATTTAGGAAGGTGTGACGTTCTAGGTAGCAGCAATTACTTAGGACTATCAAAAGTTGCTGTTCCTAAAAGCAAAACAAATTTTTAGAAAATTACATTTATAGTAACAAATTGAGAGTCTAACAAGTATCATTTATCACTTATTAAGTTTAATTATCCCTGGTGTTTAATATCAACATTCAACACTTTGGTGTTCTTTGGCTCCTTCTTTTGCAATATTAACATAGAAACACACAATTCTATAATTCTACTAAGTGCTCATTAATATATAAGACACTAAAGAGTCAAATAATATTCCCTTGATTGATGAAACACAGTTAACTAGTAAAGTAGGATCAGCTATTGTTCTTATGAAAGGGGTTCATGTTATAAGTTATTTTACTTAATTCTTTGTGTACAAAATTAGCTATAAAGTGAATATTTTTAAGTGACTACAAAAATTGTAGAAACCTTAGAAAACAGTTTAAAAGAGAATTATAATATAATCTATGTGATAGGCTTCTTCAAAAACTTGGATCTTCACAGAATGTTTTATGTAGAACAGTCTCCCTCTTTTCAGTAGTGAAGGCACAGAGTGTAGGGGACTCTGCCCCAATGACAGGATTAGAGAGGACTAGAGCCCCATGGTGTGTACTCTCCATAGTTATACCTACTTAAAGTAATTTCTCATCAAAATTACAGACCCCAATGCTGATAAATAAAACATCTTTTACAGTTCATAAGAACTCTTTTTGTAAACAGAATTCCAGGAATGGCATCTATCACTGCTATTGTGGCTAACAGAAAGCACTTTCTCTGTGCTCTGTCAGGTTTAACAGCATTCTCTGGAACAAATGTGACTAATTTAGGGCCTCAGTTTAAGATCCCTTGACTAAAAACTAAGGCAGAAACCACTTTCCAGGAAAAGTTCTCACCCATATATGTTTCCTGTTTCATATGTAATCAGAATAACTTATGTTAAAGTCAATATGATAAATATGGAAATAAATAGGCCCCTGTCCTTTAAGGTATTCAAACCACAGATAAAATGTACTCTTTAAACTCAACTGCCAAGTACAGATTATCTCTCTTAATAATATCATTTAGCCCCACCAAAAGTTTTAAAACTTTCTAAATTTAAAAGCATTTAATATTTGATATGTTCATGTATTTAATATGTCCCAATCTTTATTTCTAGTAGAGTGTAGTCTACTGAATGCCTTTTCAGGTTATCAACAAATATAATTAAAAGGCCAAGAAATTATTAAGGTACCTTCAAGCAAATGAAACATTGTTGATAGCCCTGATAACCTATGGATGGTAAATGGAGTACAGAAAAAGGTAAAGAAGGTTATGGTATATATGCTCCTCCTCCACACTTTGAATTTAAATGGCAAGTAAAAATCAGAAAGAGAGCAGTGAACAGCAATGGAAAGGTGCACAGGTGAGGCTGGGATATTCCCTCCTGCCCTAGATCTGGTGTTATCCTTATGTGGTCCTTGTAAAGCACATGAAGTAAAGTAAACATAGTATCTATCTCACTAGCCACTCTAAACATGCTGCACTCCTTGAAATTCTCATCTGGACTTAATTGCCTTATCCTTCAAAAGTCTTTCCTACAAATATTACCCTTATCTAGGAGTCCACCTGAGCCTGCTGCATCTTCTAACCCCTATTAATTAACTATCTTTAGTTGAAAGAAAATGGTTCTTCCCATAAAATGGAAAAACTATTTGGGTGATTTAAAGTCTTACCCTTAGTAAGTATCCCCCCTCAAATCTAACCAATCAGAAGAAATAAAAAGTAGAAAGAACTGAATAACACAATCAAATAATCAAACGTTTTTAACAACTTAGATAAAGATACATGTTTGAAAATAACAACCCAATTTATGAAAGGGAGAACTTGCAGATTAAGGACTATAGCCCTACGTATTATTTTAATTATTCCTCACCAATCTCTGAGGTATAGGCATGACCATCTCAATTTTGTCCAGGAGAAAACTGGATACCCTCAGTAATATGCCCAAGGTTATTCAATTAATAAGAAGCAGATAAGGAAAAACCAGTGTCTGCTAACTTCAAACCTAGACCTCTTTCTACCATAATCGCCTCTGCTGAATAACAGAATAAGACCTTAAGAAGATCTCAATAATCTGGGCCAAATATAACAAGATACCATGGGAGGAGAAAACTAAGGAAATGAATTTGGTATAAAATACATAATTTTTACAAAATAAAATGGAAGAGATAAGGTACCATGAGTAGCAGAAGCAAGTATGAAATGTGGGGTTTGGTTCACAGCAAGCTCAATATAAGTCAACAGAGAGATGTAATCTAATGTGTGGTTCTGGCTGCTTCCCAGTAGTCAGGGTCACATTGGAGTTGGGGATCCACTCTTGAAGAAGGACCAAAGTAGACTCAGGGGAGAACCACCACATCAAGTGACTACAAGCACATGAACTGGGAGACATCTATATAATTTAGAGTGTTAGTAAGGAGAAGGGAAGATTCCAAGCACATAGCAGCTGTTTTCAAAACACTGTAAAGATTATCATGTAATGGAGGGAAAAGGGGGAAGGGTTTACAGGAATACCTATAAAGGACACATGGACAAAACCAAAGGGGGGTAGGATCAAGGATGGGAAGTGGGGATGGCTGGGGTGGGGGTAGTGGTCTAGGGAAATGGAGACAATTGTACTTGAACAACAATTGAAAAAAATTAAAAAAAATAAAGAAATTAGGCTTGTTCTAAAAGACATAAAAAAGCATACACAGTTGGTCAGATAGCTGGCAAGGCCTTTCTCAATTTAGAAGGATCTTTCCTCCAGCTCATGTCCTTCTCTAGTCCTCTTTGTTCACAATGGAAAGGATGGCTTAAACTCTCCACAGAAACTTCTTCAGCTCCCATTCACTCTTGTCCTACAGATGGCCCTTGAGTGGTCCAATGATGTGCTTCTCACATTGCCATACATGGCCTCCTAATTGCCAAGGTTATGAGGTTCTAGTTTTCATCTGATCTAACCTGATACTCCTTCAGTCTAAGAGACTCTTAAATATTCCTTTGTTTAAATACTTTTTCCATTTGTCTCAGGAACATTTCTCTATGAGAATATCCTTCTCTCTGATTATTCCTTCACAGAAAATTTCAAGGCCTCTGCTCCTAGACATCCTTTAAATATTGGTACCCCCATATTATTTTTGTATATTTGGCCCTTCTCTTAATCTACTACTGTTTTTAATGGTATTGTCACCCATCCCCAGGCCTTATTTTGCCAATTCATAAATCTATACCTAGACTTCTCTCCTGGGGTCCAAGTAAGCACAGCTAATCTGCCACTACATATCTCTACCTGAATGACACTTGTTCAATACATCTAGACCTAAACCAAATTTTTAGTCTTTCTTTAAAACCGTTTTTTTAAAGATTTTATTTATTTTTAGAGAGGGAAGGGAGGGAGAAAGAGAGAGAGAGAGAGAAACATCAATATGCAGTTGCTGGGGGCTGTGGCCTGCAACCCGGGTATTTGGCCTGACTGGGAATCGAAGCTGTGACACTTTGGTTCGCAGCCTGCATTCAATCCACTGAGCTATGCCAGCCAGGGCTTAGAATCGTTTTTCTTCCTAAATTCTCTTTGTCAATCCATTAACTAATAGATTTTATTAAAAATTACTTTGATTAAGGCCCTGGCTGGCGTAGCTCAGTGGATTGAGTGCGGGCTGCGAACCAAAGTGTTGCAGGTTTGATTCCCAGCCAGGGTACATGCCTGGGTTGCAGGCCGTGACTCCCAGCAACCACACATTGATGTTTCTCTCTCTCTCTCTCCCTCCCCTCTCTAAAAATAAATAAATAAAATCTTTAAAAATTACTTTGATTAAATTATACTTTTCCCAATATAGCAAATTGCTTATTTAGGAATTCATATTTATAAATATAAAAATGCAGAAATGATATAGGGCAGAAAATTCAGGCCCTATGTTTCCTTTCTTGAGTGATACACATATACACATACACCCATCCTTCAAGCTAAAGACAGAACAGAGAAAGTTATTTGTTTTTAAGATAGCTGGAGTTTTCATTTCAACAGCTAAGTTTATATGTGATAAAGTTATGTTTGTGAATCATCCCTAAATACACGTATATATTTTTAAAGTGTGTGTGTACATATGTATATATACACATACCTATATTCATATATATATATACATATATATGTACTTGTGTGTGTGCATGTTTGGCTTTGTTTTTGCCACAGAACTCTGTGTTCAAATGAAATGCTATTAGGGAACTTACAGAAATAAAACAGAGAAAAGTAGAGCTTCTTTGGTTAAAGAGGAAAAATGTGGAGGAACTCTCTATACCAGGGAACTGCTAGGACATCTAATTCACACTCAAGAACCTGCATGATGCAGAGAATAGATGGAACTAGTTAAGTTGCAACTTCATCTAAAAAGATTTTAAGTGAAGAATATATATGAAGTTATATTTTTACTAACATTTTCACAAAATAAAACACAACTCCAAAGTAAAGAGTAGTAAGTTACAGCACCAATAAGCAGGTAATTTAGACAGATTATGAAATAATCTATGTAACTGTCATTACATAGTTTTAAAATGACATGTTTTACTCTCTATTTATCATCTTAAGTATCAGCTTACTTACAGAAGTCAAACTGAAGTCTTCATGAATACTTCCAAACAAATCAGGAGAAGAAACATCAATAGAAAGACTAGATATAAAACAAGAAAGAGAACAATCAAAATAATAAAATAAAAATGCTAATGTAAAGTTATATGTCAACTCTATCAATAAAATATGCAATGAGCCTTATGTTAATTTGACTTTAAAATATATTGGTCAGTTCTCTAGGTAATGGGAGTCAAGATAGCAGAGTAGGTAGATCCTTAGCTCACCTCCTCACATGGACACACCAAAACTATAACTAAATATAGAGCAATCTTCACTGGGAACAATCTGAAGACTAGTTGATCAGGTTTTTCTACAGCTCAGGATATAAAAAAAAAAGCCACATCTAGATGAGTAGGAGGGCAGAGATGCAGGCTGGTGAGGACCCATATACCCAGTGTGGTGCTTCACAAGTGGAAGGGATACCATAACCACAGTGGTCCTCCTGAATACAGAGGGGTCTGAATCCCACACCAGGTGACCCTACCCAGAGGATTTACACCTGGAAGAGGAAGCCCTCATAATATATGGCTTTGAGAGCCAACAGGGCTTTCCAGGAATGAAAGACTCCACTCTTTAAGGGCTCAAGTGCAATACAAACTCACTCAGTACAAGTCCCAACACTGAGGCAGCAGCTGGAAAAGTACCTGAATCAACCATGCAGGAATTATATTAACTAGCTTTAGGGTAAGCAGTCACCCTAAAGGGAACAATGGGAACTTTCTCCAGAGACCCAAGTGTTGGCAAATGCCATTATTTCTTTGTTTCTTCTATTTCACTCTCCTTCAACCTAGCCTGGCTGGCATAAGCCAGTGCAAATTCTGACGCTCTCTATACCTACACCCTACCCCAGCATTCATCAGAGGTCACATCCCAGGTTTTTCTCCAAGCCAAAATGACTTCAAAGTGGCTCCAAACAAAGCATGTGCCTCAACCTGCTCTGAAGTCCGATCTAAGCAGCTCTACCACTAACACAGCTGGCAGGTGAACTAGGCCAAAAGCAAACTCCCTCTCAAATAGCTCCAGGATCAGCACAACCAGCATAGAGCCTTGACCAGCACCAGAGCCTCCCCAAAGTGGCTCCAACTCTGGAGGGCCAGCCCCTTCATGAAAGATCATCCTCAGCAGTCATAGCCAATTCTCACATCCAGCTGGCCTGGGGACACCCCCCACACAGGAGTTCCAACAGCAATTATAGTGCAACTACAAAAAGAAGGGTGCACACAATCCACACAGGGTCATTCCTGGAGCATGTAGCTCTGGTGACAAGGAAGAATTGCACCACTGGGCCCCAAAGGTCACCTTGTACATAAGGCCACTCTTTCAAGGCTGATAGATGTAGCTGATCTATCTAATACATAGAAACAAACAAAGAGATATAGGCAAAATGAGGAAGCAAACAAATATATTCCAAAAAAAGGGATAAAACACCAGGGGAAAAAATACTAAATGAAATGGAGATAAGCAATCTATCGAAAAAAGAGTTCAAAGAATGGTTATGGAAATGCTCAATGAACCTGGAAGAGGAATGGATGAACTCAGTGAAAACTTCAACAAAGAGATAGAAAAAAATAATAATTAGAACTAAGAATACAATAAATAAAATTGTTATTACCATAAATACAGGAGGGAATACCATAAATCTACTCCTTAATTTAAAGACATAACAGAATCATAATAAACACCTTAATAGGAATTCCCTTCTTTAAACCTCACCAACATATTTTAGAATTCATATGGCAGACTTAAGGATGAAAATATCAAATACTTTAAAACAGAAGCATTTAATAATTAGTAAAGATACCAATCTGAAAAATGTCAAAAGAATAATGATAATGAAAAACACAACCTGATAGAAAATATAGATGAATGGAACAGAATACAGAGCTCAGAAATACACTGCACTATATATTAAAATTCAATAATGTATGAAACAAAAAATATAACAAAATAATAGGAGGGAAAGATGTATTTACTTATATAGTTATTTATTTTTTTAAGATTATATTTATTTATTTTTAAAGAGAGGGGAAGGGAGAGAGAGGGGGAGAAACTTCAAGGTGTGTTTGCCTCTCACACACCCCCTACTGGGGACCTGGCCTGCAACCCAGGCATGTGCCCTGACTGGGAATTGAACTAGCGGCCTTTTGAATCAAAAGCACTCCATCCACTGAGCCACACCAGTCAGGGGAAGGAAAGATTTACTCAATGAATCGTATCAGGGAACTGATTAACAATACAAATTCCTGGTGGTGGATTAATGTGTTAAACATACAAAAACAAATTAAGCAAAAACTAGAAGAATTAAGTATTTATTAGGTCTCAGAGAGGTGATTGCCTTCTATACTGAGGGGAAAAAACCACTACCAGGAAATAGGCAAATAGGTAAAACTTTGGAATTTTTCAAGTATGAATTTAACAGGCATTTATTTCAGTATTATATGTGTCAAAGCATAAATTTTAGGTGCACAAAAGTTGTATGTCCCAATGTCATTCAGAAAAGCTAGATTTTAAAAAATCCTACAGAACTTTATTATAAAAGAATTATCACATGGATTTGTAAATATCAAGAATCAAGGTTTGCTCCTTGTAGCCCAAATAAGCCTAAACCAGAATTAACCCCACTAACATAATTAGTTTTTAACAAGAGTATTAGTAGAATCCTCTATACTCGAATTGTGAACATTAACACAAAGAAGTTATATATTTTAAGTTTTTACTCTGTTATTTACTGTGTAAAACTTCTTAATTTGGCTAATTAGTGAGCTAATCCTGTGTTCAGTTTGCTCAACATGTCTCTAGTAATGCTAAGATGAGCTTAAAAGTGAAAGAAATTATGGGAAGAATATAGGTCAAATGTGGAAAAATATAACTTTAATATAAATATTTGTCTCTCTTATTGGAAGTCTTAGGATATAAGGCCAATTACAGAACATCAGCCTGTATTTTTAATCCTTCTAAATGCAAGAATGAGATTAATTTCAGTTTTACTTACTGTGTAGTATCTCCATCTCCATCAGGCTTAATGCTCAATTGTTCCAGACAATATATAAAAATCTAAGTCAAAAAAAATAACAAGTTTCAGTGACATGACCTCTTAGATTCTAATTCATTTGAACATTAAAAATAATTTTATGTAAATAAAAAATCAAGAAATACATATCTTTATAAGAGCGTACCTATAAGCTATCTTTATAGGTATCTCCCATAAGTGATATTATATCCACCAATGTATATTACATAAATAAGAGACAATTAAAACACCGATATTTTTATCCAACTATTGAGTTCTTGCATATATTTTAGGAAAAACAACTTTTCCTTTCCCTCATTCATTCGCTTGCATGTTCAACTTTATGTGCCCACATAGCACGGGTCCCAAAGGACTTCACACCTGGACACCAAATAAAACAACTATGATGTCATTCAAGCTTTTATTTACTTATTTTTAGACAGAGGGGAAGGGAGGGAGAAGGGGAAGGAGAGAAACATCAGTGTGTGGTTGCCTCTTACACGTCCTGCACTGGGGACCTGGCCAGCAACCCAGGCATTTCTTTGACTGGGAATTGAACTGGAGATCCCCTCAGTTCTTAGGCTGGCACTCAATCCACTGAGCCACACCAGCCAGGGCCTATCATGTAATGTAATCAGTGCTCTAACAGAAATTTATGTAAAGTCCCATGAGAACACAAAACAGGGGAACATAATATAAATGAAATATTAAGGTATTACTAAAAGAAACTGGAATTTTACCTTGAACTTTGTTTTGTTACATGACTTACTATAAACTATCATATACAGATAAAAAAGAATACATATTTAATATAGTATATGTTTATACATATATTCTAAATAAGAGAGGGCTGACAAATGATTTGCATTATTTCACGCTCAGGGTATCAGTGCTTTTATTTATTACCTGCATGATATTGATGCTTAGTTGGCAAACTTCCTCCTGTGTTTTAGGTTGTTGAAATACCTGTCAGGAAGAATTTTGGTGAAAAATTTTGGACTTTGCTAAGAAAACACAACTTCTGTTTACAAAGTTCAATATAAAAAGTTAACACATGGAAAACTACCTCTAGTCTGTGTAATCTATTCTGAAAAAGAACTGTGAATGAAGACCTGGACTATAGGAAGTATTTCAATCTATAGTGATTCTGTCCTGAGAAGATGTTGACATAGAGCTGCTTAATTGTTTACTCTATATACAAAGTGTTAACATTGCCAAGTAGCCTGCCTGCAACACTTACACTCACATCTTTAATTTCCATCAGCCTCTCTTGGAATCAAGAAATCAACAGTCTATATAGTTACAAGCAGTCAAGAGGGAAAAGCTCTTGTGTGAAATGACTCAAAACTTTACAACTGTGATTCAGAACGGTTCACCGGGAAAGTCTGAAATAGAGGTTGAATGTAACAGAACACTTACACTGGCTTCTCCGGGCTTGCAGTCTAGGACTCCTTTAAGTGATTGCAGAGAATGTACAATGCACTGTTCAAACTGATATGGCTAGAGGGGAAAAATATATATCTTAAAATTCAAAGGAAGCATTAGTTATTAGGACATTTAAACGAAGTGAATATGGTTAACAACTCTCAATTTTTCAAATTCATGGAACAGAACAGAGATACAAATAATCCAGTCATGGAGATTTAGTTTTTCCATTTTTTGTACTGGATATTTAAAAATGTCTGAATCTTGCAACTCTCATACCCATCTAATTCAATAAGAACAGAAGTCAGGTATAACTAAAATTTTCCTTCAAAATTCTACTATTCTGAGAGGAAACTGACATAATAAAAAGCAAACACATATAATGATTTTATATTTTAAACCCTGCTTGCAAGGTATAGTCTGAATGTACTCCATCTCTTAGATCTTCCACAACTCTGCTACTGTTCGAGACAATTTAATGTTAACACTGATCCAGAAAAGATCCGGGATCTTTAATTTGAAAAGTCAATATAATCATTTTCTACATACATTAAATTAGGAAATGAAACTTCAAAAACATGCAACAAATGGCATTCAATGAATTTCAATGAATTCTAACATCTTAGCTTCTAACTGTATTTAAGGTATTATTCTGTGCCAAACATTTGCTAGGTAACAGGGATATAAGAGTAAGAAATACAGAGTTCTCAGTCAGTGTATATTCTAGGGTGACACTAACCATGAAAGCAAGATTAAATGAAACTGTTACTTTTTACTAAAAAAAAGTAAAAGTACAGAAATAAAGTAAGTGCAATCCCAAACCAACTTTCATGAAGAAAGTAAGTGGAACTCAGAGGAAAATGGTGATGGAGAGAGATAAGTTTTAAATAGGATAGTTAAAGAAGGCCCCTCTCAGACAGTGAGAACACTTAAGCTGAGAGTTGAAGAACAAGAGGAAGCAGCCCCTAAAAAGTAAAGGGAAGAAGGGAAGTGACTCCGGAAGGGAGACAGAATGTGCACAGGCCCCACCCAGGGTGGACAAAACCTGACAGGGTTGAGGGGCCACATTGTGTCACAACCACTGAGTGTGGACAGGGGAGTTGAAGAGATAAAGCTAAGGATCTACATTTCATTCAGGGGCATGGAACTGTCCAAGGCTCAAAGTTCAAATAAATCATCTCTGTGCAAAAATCTGGAGTCGGAACCTCGCCTCAGTTTACATTTTAATTTTTAGAGGAGTTGGGGGAGAAAAGGAAAGAGAGACATTTGTACACAAGGGGAATAAGAAAAGAAGACACATTTATTTTCTAACAAAAAGGAACCCAGATTTAATGAAAAGTTAAAATAGTGCCTCAAAACTTTAATGCTGCACTTTGAAGCCACCAGAGGGCACCATACAAAATACTTAAAAGTAGAAGTACCAAAAAATAAAGAATATTGGGGGGGAGGGGGCTGGTTATAGGATGAAGTACCAACTGCACAGAGAATATTTAAAGAGCCAAAATGTTTGTTAGATACCTGATCATATCCATCCAATGTACCTGACTCAAAAAGGATGAAAATCTAAGATGTTAAAATAGTAAGTAACAATTAAATCCAAAATTCAACTATGGGCAGTTAAATGGTAAAGTTCATGTGTGGTTATTGAAATATCTTATATTAAATTTGAACTAGATTTTCTTATTTTTGTTATATATACACATCTATTAATACAACAAATGGATAGAGAATACTGGAGAGCCCAATGAGTAGTTTCAGTTAAACTAGAAGTATATGACAGTCAAAACACCTATTTCTTTTTTTAAACGGAAATAGTGCTATCTCTGCATGTTGCCAGTGAATCACCAATTTAGTTGATATAAGGGATTATCACAAATCATGCCAGTTCTTCTGAAAGAAAAAAATTCTTAGAATTATCCAGATTTTAAAAAGGCAAAAAATATTTTCAACATGAAAAAAACAGGATGCTTTCAAATAAACTATTTCAGAGCACTGAAGTACAAATTAAAGGTAATACTTCACCTGAAAGAATAGTCATAATGAGGCAAAGCTGCCTGTTCATTTATTTAGCATAATAATAAAGGAATGTTATTTTACCCCCACCACAGAGAAAGAAAAACATAATCTCATTTCAAACTAATGGGACTGGTACTATAGAAACTTGAACAAAAATAAATTAGAGGCATGTAATTTAAATCATTGTTCAAAGTCGAAGAGTTTTAGTAATGTTAGTTAAGTTACAACACTCAAAACTGGGATGTACGTAGACTTTTATTCCAAGTACTGATTCACTTTATCTCTTCAGCAAGGTCCATGCTAAATAGTTAAAATCATGCTCAGCTTTATCAAGTCTATCATGTTGGTATCTTTCTTCAATAAACTCTGACTAGAAGGACTGGCTGACACCAGAACTGTAACTTCTTGTGGGTCATTCATCTATAAGGTGTGATGGGTTTAGTTTTGTGACTTGTGTGTGGGAGACCAAACATAAAATTAGTTACAGAGGTTACAGTTTCTTATATTATAGTTAAAATTTAAATTGACTACAAATAATTTTATAATAATCATTTCAAAGCATTTTTTCTTTTTTTAAAAGATTTAATGTATTCATTTTTAGACAGGGGGGAAAGGAGGGAGAAAGGGAGACAAGCATCAATATATAGTTACCTCTCACATGCCCCCCACCAGGGACCTAGCCCGCAACCCAGCCATGTATTCTGACTGGGAATTGAACTAGTGTCCCTTTGATTCACAGGCCAGAGCTCAACCCACTGAGCCACACCAGTCAGGGCTCAAAGCATTTTCAAAGAGGCTGCTATCAGGTAAGCACACACTGGGACCTTAAGTGTGACAGCTATCAGGCAAGAACACACCTGGAGCCTAGGTGTGGAAGCTATCTGCTGGACACACACTAGGACATCAGGCATGGCAGCTATCAGCAAGAACACACTGAAACCTCTGATGTGGCAGTTATCAGTTAAAAACACACCTGGAGCCCAGGTGTGGCTGCTATCAGGTAGGCACACACTAGGACTTCAGGCATGGCAGCTAACACACAAGCATACACTGAGACCACAGGGTGGAAACTATCAGGTAGGCAAGCACACACTGGGACCACAGGGTTGAAGCTATCAGGTAAGCACATACTGGAGCTCCAGGACTGGCAGTTATCACATAAGCACACACTGGGACCCAGATGTGGCAGCAGTCAGGTAAGTATATTCTAGGCTAAATGTGTGTGCAAGGAACACTAGTTTAAAGAAGGAGCTAAAGCCGATACCTGTTTCATTGCTAAGTTTTGTGCAATTTTTTTCATGAAAACAGATGCTCTTTTAAACATACGTACTTTTTTCATTTGCACAAGTCTTATCTGAAACACATATCAAAAGTCAAGCATCAAGTAACATGCTGTCTAATGTGCCCTGGCCTATTTCATCTGTAGCACGCTATTCAGTGTATGATGGTTGAATGATTCCTTTTCGGCCTCTCTTTCAGGCTTGTTGTGACAATTATGTGGTACAGGGTTATATGAAAGAGCTTGAAAACAGTGAAGTATAATATATATTTAAGGTATTATTATAGTGGCCCCAGTATTACAGGTATTATTTTAATAAGTAAAACTCCTCTATAAGTATACAAAGGTTTGTTGTTCAGTGCTTTATTCCCATTTCATTTTAGCTAGCAACACTGTGAAAAAATGTTCTGCTTCTTTAATTAGGGCAGATAGGTTAAATGGCTTCTTGGAGACTGCGTGGCTATGATGTAGCAGAATCAGGACTGAATAAGACTATGATTCTAAATCCAGTGCAGTACAGCAGAAGTATAATGTGAGCCACAAGCACAAGCCATGCATACAATTTCAGACTTTCCAGTAACCACATTAAGAGAACTAAAAGGAAAAAATTAATGTTACTATAATTTATGTAATGAAATATACCAAAATATTATTTCAACATGTAATCAATATAAAAAGTTGAGATATTTTACATTCTTTCTTCTTGTACTGAGTCTTTGAAATCTGATGTGTATTTTACACAAGCCACATGTAAAGTGGCTGCCATAATGGATGGTGCAAGATCTGCCCCACACCTCCTTCCTCTAAATATTTAGTGTGACAGAATTAGTTATTAGTTTTTTTAAATGTAAGTCATTATGAAAAACAGAATAAGACAAATGAATCAAAACAGGTATTTTATAAAAAATAACTTTTAAAATATAATTAGAATTAAATAATTTATTTATTAAACTAATACATTCCCTTAATTTCAAGCATGATTTAATTTACAAACATATGGAAGCAAGCACTACTGTTATAAATCACACTGTTACATATAAAGGAAGGTATATTTGTATATATTTATATTAACTTAGGAAGAAACCATGAACTTTGAAGAAGAGAAAAAATTTCAACTTGACAAAAATTCTTCAACTCTCTATATCAAGAAAAGCTATCAAGAAGTATAAAAATTAGAGGAAATGCAGAAATATTACATGGGGTTATTGCTTCTCAATAACTTGATTCAAATCACGGGGGTATAATGTATAGCACAGGGAATATAGTCAATGATATATACTAACTTTGTTGAAAAATGGTAAAAAAAAAAAAGCCCATAAAATGTGATTCAACCACTACTTTACAAATTTGGCATACCAAAACCATTTATTTTAGTTTCCTTTCTACAAACTAGGCAAAAACTGCTAATTGCCTCCTCAGATTCTGGTCCATGGCACAGATATAAAACATGAAAAAGTATGGAAACTATATTCAAAGGTATTTTGAAAACCTAAACATCCCATTTAAATAGATGATTCTTTTGAAGGAAGAGATCACAGTTACTTGACCTGTGTATGTATCTGGAGAAGTTTGCTGTTGTTTATTTGTTTTGTTTTGGCTTAGGAGCCAGCAATATCATTTTTTTTTCTATCCCTCTTTTCTGAAAAATTCAAGTTGTTGGGTAACTTAGCATTAAACATAATCTATTAAAAAATGCAATGCAAACAAAAATAGTAAGTGATAAAGGATAAAAATAGATTATTCTAAAAGAAATCCACCTTTCATTAATTTTTAAATATATATGGTTAAACTGTACTTGAGCAGCAAGAAAATAAATAAACAAGCAAACGTGTGGTTAGTGTTCAGCAAAAATGACTGAGAAAAAATTTATTTTTCTATTTCTACAAATTATTTAGAATTATAATACAGAGAGCACATGCTCCTTATTAATATAATAAGTCATTAATTTTGAATATAACATACACTAATGATTAATCATTTAAAAGCATTTAAACTTACTAGAGAAGTCAGGCCTTCATTACCGACAATCCAGTCTTCCTTTCCAGCTAATCTCTTTACTTCTATAAGGAGAACAAGCACAAGTACTTTTTATTGCAGTTATCTCACTGAACTTTATAGAGATAAAAATCTATGGGTTATAGTTTTTAACTTTTTTATAGGTTTGTAAAAAAGCAGGTACAGAATATAATTCTGGTAGAGTCAAGGATTTAAATGTGTATTATTCACTGCATTTTTCTAATAAAACATTAATGTAAGTAAAATTTTTGACTACAGAGCCCAATTTGGAGAATGCTAGGCTAGGTTTAATAACTTTAAACAATGTATTAGCTTTTCAGCACTCTTGATAATATCAAACATGTACAAAATAACATTATTTTTCCCTAAAATTTCTAATGAACAATTTAGATTCTATTTTAATCCCATACATTCCTGACAATGACAGTCTGATTCTCACTTGGCTAAAGGAATGCAAGTCCAAACCTTTTGCATTACAGTGTGTTTCAGTTCCCTAAAAGGAAGAGGTGATGAATTAAGAGGACACTGCTCAGTTTCTTATGTGACTTGATCTCATTTCCATTTACTGAGTGTATCAGTCACCATTTCTATATAGATATGGTGACAGACAGTAATGGCTTATGTCATTTATGACAATGCTCTTGTTTCTGAAAACATTTAGTATCTAAACGACTACTTTCTAAAGATAATCTTAATTGTTATTTTATAACTCTTTGTAAAAAATCCCCCCAAATTCTAGAAAGTATGAAGAAAGTGAGCTTTGCCTATAATTTCTACCATATGAAGAACCACTGTTAATAGTCTTTCTTCTAATTTTACATTGATATTTATAAATTAAACTTTTAAAATATGCATATACTTTTTTCAAAATTGAAATATTTTATATACATTTTATACTCTACTTTCTCTACTTAACTTTTGCCATAAGCATATTTTTATATCTTTAAATATTTTTCAAGTAGATCCTTCTTAATTTCTGTAGTCTGGCATCTCCAATTTAAAAAAAAAAATCCTCTGGAAAAAAATTATATTGAATAGCTACAGATGGTCTAAAATGTTCAAATTTCCATAAAAGTAATTTCTTGTTTTCAAATATTTGAAAACTAGAAAGAGGTGGCATATTCAGATAACCATTGTCTAGTAAATGTCATCAATTTCCCCCACTGTACCTTCTGCTGTATGTTGCAATGTGACCATCACACAATGTACTCGAAGATCCAAAATGAGATCCTGAATAGTCTGTAACATGTCATTAGGAATTTCAAGGGCAGTCAATGATTCATAAGTAAGCCTGTAAAACAAACACAACAAAACAAAAGTGAGCAGAATACAATCACATCAGTTTGGCCATCCTGTAATGATTCATTATGGAGCTTAGATGCTACAATATTATGTTGAAAATAAGGTAAAAGTAAAACTATAAGAGGGATTAAAATATAACAGTAACACTGAATTAAACAATAAAAGATGCATACCCAGTCTGGCATTCTCATCAAACATAGAACTAGAAAAGTTTAATAGCCTGTGAGATGATACATGGGAAAACAGTGGAGGCAAAAGGATGTAAAAGTAAATTCTTCACAGAATGTATTAAAAATCCTATCTCATCCTCAGTATTCTTTTCAACAACCAAAAAATATTGACCTTTTTCAGGCAAGTATGTCTATATTTACCTTGCAGTCTGGATGACATGAGCAAGCCATTGTCCATCCAGCTCAGACTTCACCTCCCAGCCTCCATACTGCCTCATTCCACCCTCTGGGATGCTGAGCGGAAGCAGCGCTCCACGGATCAGCTTCACAAGGCAATGCATTATCTCCTGAATCATTTTCTGGACAACAGTAAATAAGCAAACCTCATTAAAAGTCACTAACTTGATTACATCAAATGAATGAATCTGCTTGAATGATGATGAATAGCTTGAACATAAATAAAAGTCTTCTACTATGATTGAGAAAAACCTACCCTGTTGGAAAAGTCTACATACTTATCTCTTACCTTAAAATCATTTTGTCTTTGCCTTACATTCTTTGATCTTTCAATGTGGCTTGACTTCTCAGCAGTCTTAAAAATTAAAAAACAAACATTTATCTTTATAAATAATTTGGAGTTGTACATAAAAAAGGATGAAATACAGTTATAACTTGATTTAAAGAAATGTATAAGAAATAATCTAAATTTCTGATTACAGGATGACTATTCTAAAAACCTTTCTTATTAAAACAAGAAGATATTCACCTTCCTAAAATATTTAAGTACAATTCCCATTAATGAACCTAAGTATTAATTGAAACAACCTTATTTTTGTAGGGGAATTTCAAATGTCATTTTCATCAACAATTTTAAGTGGTTAAACCTAAAAGCAGAAGTGTCCAAGCATGCAGCTTGGGATGACTATGAATACAGCCCAACACAAAATCATACATTTACCTAAAAGATTATGAGATTGTTTTTGTGATTATGTGGCACAATGTCACATAAAATAAACATGTATGCTTTCACTATTTGTTAAACATGCATCTTCAAGGTGAAAACCAACTTATCAATACCATGTTTCAAACAATAACAGTGTTCCAAATGAAATTATGGCAAGCTCAAATTAAAGCAGGCAATTTTAGGCATTTTGACATGTTAGCTAAACACACTCCTGTGTACAGCAAAAAAAAAAAAAAAATATGCAGCCTTGCTTTGCTATTTGATACAAGAATTTGAAAACAGATTTTAAGTTTTCTGGGAAAATAATCACTTGCTATATTTGAGACTCCCATTTTCAGTCGACATAAGTATGTTACCTGCCAATTAAATGGAATGCGTAGAGATGCAATGTGACATTCAACTTAAAGAAAAATCTGATCATGTCTCTGTACTGGACTGTTATAGGTCTTGTTTTCCCAGAAACAAATATCCCTGGCTTCACAATCACACCTTATTCATGTCATCGCTATTTGACAGCACCTACATTGGCAAGCAACTATTTTCAAGAATAAAACACATTAAGAGTAAAATTAAAACCAAAATATCTGATGAGCACCTTGAGAACTCACTGAGAAACGCAACTACTTCTATGAAACCAGATATTGATGTACTAGTTTCTCAAATACAATGTCAAACATCCCACTAGTTTTATGATGCTCTCTTTTACTTTTATAATAAAAAAATTAACAAAAACATCAGTAATGTTTTATTACTTAGATATGTACATTTTCTATATTAGTGATCACAAATGTGGTACCTGTTGATGATTTTGAAAGATTATACAAAGGCCCGCTGTATAATTAGTGCTATTACATGAGGACTTTTTTTCTTATCTGTGATGGCAAATATCACGAAAATTATGCATGGACCCTTTTTTGTTCATCGATTTTTGTTAGTGTTTGTATATTTAATGCGTGGCCCAAGACAACTCTTCTTCTTCCAGTGTGGGCCAGAGACGTAAAAGGTTAAACACCCCTGCTTAAAAGCATTATACCCATGATAACATTCTCAACATCATTTCTCACCAACTAGGAAGGAAATGTAAAAAAGAGTAAACTCCAGAATAATGTCTACTGATCTTAGGACATATATTCCATTCCCCTAACAAATATTGCTGAATATAAGCATTATAACTGGCATTTTATTTTTTAAAAAATCATAAATCATTGCTTTTCTTCAAAGGTTTTTCAGTCTAAGGAGAAAACATATTACAGAACTCTAAAATTAATTTTTTATCTGTTTACTGAGAGCCACGTTCTCTTCTGATAATTCTCCTTAAAGTAATGTGTAGATGACTACAGTGCATTGATTAAAGAAAAATCAATTCAACTGGATTTCAGTTAACATTTTATTAACAAATTTTTAAGAACTAGATATTATTATATAAAATGCCTTAGAAAGTTTCCAAATAAAGAAGTGACAACACGGTGCAATATAAAAGAAAATTTTGGTATTTTATTAACATAAAGCAACATATTCAGCTTTTATCATATATATCAGCATTTATCATATTTTATCAGTATTTATTAACATATATTCAGCTTTTATAATTTTTTCTTTGTAGAAACACACTTCTGCTTTAAAATACTTAAACTTGAGTTTTTAAAAAAATGGTAAACCCAAAATTTACCTCAATAACAATTCAATAAGAAAAATCCTAAGTTCATTGGCAAACAACACTCAAAATTCTTTGTGCACTAAGATTTAACTCAGAAATTGATGTTTTTGTCCCTTTATTTTTAATACAAATGAGAAAATACTGAAGTGCTTTATAGCTCCTGTGAGAAGTGAGTAGAGGGGGATAGGGTTAAGAGCATGACTAGCTAGAAGAACACTGCACTAACCCAGGGAAGCAATGACAGTGTTTTAGGCTACAACAGTGAATAGGGGATCCCTGTGGATGGCTTAGATACAAGCTTCTGGGGCAGAAGTGTCTGAACCTAGTGATTCCACTGGGTGTTTCAGTGAGAAGGGAGAGATGTCAAGAGTGACTTCCATCTGAGTCATGACCACTCAGGTAAGTCCAAATGGCCCTGATGTCTGTTAGCCTACTTTCTGTTTCTGTCAAGTATGCTGCTCTGATTCAAAATAATACTTGGTAATCTAGTGGCCCAGGTGTAGAAAAGCAGAGATGTGGCCCCTGCTTCATGAAGTGATAAAGAGCTATTCTCTAAATGGTAGTTTATCAGGCCTATGTCATAAGTACTTTTTTTCTATACTAATTTATCCTCATAGCTTCAAATACCATTTCTAATACCTTCCTATTTCAGGTTCTGCACTCAAATCCACTATGTATGTGGAAGGGGAAAATGGGGAGCGGTGGGATTCCTTCAGACCAACAAATAATTCTCCAGGACCCAGTTCTGACACTCCCCAGAGTCAGATTCCAGTTAATGATTCAGTCCCATAAGACCTTCCTCCCTGCAAGCCCAGACACACAGTTTAAGATGCCAATCACAAGCCCAGGTTGTCTCCTGTGCTTCTGGTGACTGCCTACAGATTGGAGTCCCTACAAACCTCTTCTTAGATTCAATTAATTTGCTAGAATAGCTCACAGAACTCAGAGAAACATAATACTTATTAGATCACTGGTTTATTACAAAAGAGTATAACCCAGCAACAGACCAATGGAAATGATGCATAGGGCATGGGGAAAGGATGCAAAGCTTCCATGCCCCCTCTGAACAGGCCACTCTCCCAAAATCTCTATGTGTTCATTAACCCAGAAACTCTCTGATCCCTTCCTTCTGACTTTGTACAGAGGCTTTGTTAAAATCACTGGTGACTGGTGACTGAACTCAACCTCCAGCTATGTAGGAGGTTGGGGGGGTGAGACTGAAAGTTACAACCCTCTAATCACATAGTTGGTGCTCTGGGCAACCAGCCCTCCAGTCTTAGGTGGGGACCTAAGTTGTGTCATTAACATAACAGAAGACACCTTTATCATTTCTCACTTCAGAAATTTCAAGGGTTTTAGGAGCTCTGTGCCAGAAATGGGGACAAAGACCAAATAGATATTTATTATAAATCATATATCACACTTCCAAATTTATATATACAACCCAAATCTTTCTTCTGATATTGAATATTTCTTCTTGAATAACTCACAAGAATTTCAAATGCAACAGAATAAAACAGAAAACTGTTATTTTCCTCCAAGTATGTTCTTTCTCATGTCTTTCTGACTTTGAAAACAGCACCTACTCACTTGGGAGCCCATGAAAGTTGTATGTGAATCCCTGTCCTCATCATCTTCATGTGATCCATCAGTAGTACCGTCAACACTACTTCCAAAATACAAATAAAATTTATCCTTTTCTCTCCAACTCTATTGCCAAAACGGTAACCCAACCACCATTTTCTGGCTGGACAGCCACAAGAACATACCAAACTTGCCTTTTGTTCTCTGCCAACTCATTCTTGAACAAGCAACCAGAGTAGTCTTTTTAAAACAGAGAAATCCAGTCAGGTAACTTCACCACTTCAAGAGTCTCCATGGCTTCCCACAGCACTTAAACAGGGGTGTCAAACTCATTTTCAGTGGGGGCCACATCAGCCTCATGGCTGTCTTCAAAGGCCTGAATGTAATTTTAGGACTGTATAAATGTAACTACTCCTTAACTAGGGGCAAGGAGCTCGGTGCCGCCACCAGGCAGAAACAAGGTGGGGGGGGGGGGGCCAGATTTGGCTCATGGGCCTTGTTTTGTTTGCCACCTGTGACTTAGAATACAAACTCTTTACCCTGCCTGCTGCTCTAGCCTCAGATCTTGTTCCTCCTAATATACTCAACCACTGCTCGGCACACTCTGGATGCTGTGACTTTCTTTCTGCCAAACCCCTTTCCCCAGTTCTGGGTGTGCTATTCTCTCTGCCTAGTGCACTCTTTCTGATCCTTTGCATAGCTGTTTCCTTCTTATGCTTTAAGTTTCAGTTTCAATATCATCTCCATATAGAAATCTTCCCTGACTTCCATTCCACTACTGATATTATTTAAGACTCTCAGCTGTTACCAAAATTTAGGAAAATTTAACAAAAATTGTCATTCTGTCTCTACAGGAGGGGAGAGGTCATGTTCATCTTGGCCACTATTTTACTTATATTGTATATATGTATATTAAAATGTGTGTATACATGTATTAGTACCTAGCACAAAGAGGCTATTCAGGACATTCAATATTTGGTGAAATAAAGTTATCACCAAGGGTTAGGATTCTTCAGAACCTCCTGGAATATATTTCAGAAAGTATGACGGCTCTGAATGCCACTAGGTTAATCAAAAGATCTTCTTTAAAAAACTTGAACTCCAGCATCTCCACAGGGCAGCCTGGCTGCAGGGCATAATCCTGTGATATGCTCCTGAAATGTTCAACAAACTTAATACTTCTCCTGGAGATTGAAGATGTCAACAAAGGGATGAGCAGAGGTTTAAGAATTTTGTGTGAATGTTGGGGGTTGAGAAAACTGTTTTAGGTGTGGAATTCTGATGTTGCTGAGGAGCCCAGCACCTACTGTGGCGTCAGGGAACAGAGAACAACACTATCATCCTATACTGTGAAATCTATGTAAAGGACTTTGTGAGGTCTATTTTTGTGTCAACTTTACAGGGCCATTGGGTGCCCAGAAATTTGGTTAAACATTACTCTGGGTGTGTCTGTGAGGGTGTCTCTGAATAGGATTAATATTTGAATTGGTAGGCTAAAAGAAGCAGCTTGGCCTCCTCAGTGTAGGTGGGTCCCATCTAATTAGTGGAAGTCCTGACTAGAACAAAAAGGCCAGGGTAAGGGGGAATTCCTATAGCTTGACTGCATAAACTGGGACATTGGCCTTTTCCAGCCTTCAGACTGGAACTGAAACATTGGCAATTCCAGTGTATTGAGCCTGCTGGTCTTTAAACTGGAACTATACAAGGGGCTCTCTTGAGTCTCCAGCTTGCTGATTACAGATCTCAGGACTTGTTAACCTCCATAATCATGTAAGCCAATTTCTTAAAGTAAATCTACTTCTCTTTAGATATATGGTTAGACATAGAATCACCATCCTATTGGCTCTGTTTCTCTAAACCCTAATATAAACCTGGTTTAGTGTGCTGTGGAGGAAGAGATGAAACGCTTAAAGATATAAATTGTCTCAATGAAGGGTCATACCAGTATAAAACGGTAAGCATCTTGATTGTCAAATGGTATCTCTTCTAGTTTTATCTCCCATAGTACCTAATACTAAACTTTTCACAAAGTGGGCTTGTTCAATGGGAAGATTATTTCATAGTCCTTTGCAAAATATTTTCAAATCAAAGAAAAAAGTGAAAATCAATCATCATATCAAAATTAAGGCCAAATTTTGCCAGAACAATTTTGTCTACCAAACATGTGCTAATGAATGCATGATGCCATCTACTGCACAGAATAATTTTATAAACTTCAAGGACCTGTCTCTGAATATATGAAAAATGGAGGAGATAGGAGAATGGGTTCTAAAGCATGCCCCTTGCAATTGTCAATATAAATTATTTTAATGTAATGCAGAAATTGAACATTTTCAACATATTGAATTATGTACAGTTTGCTCTATTTTTAAAATCTAATTTTGGAACATAAAGTGCTATATACTATAAATTATAAAAATTTAAAAAATTCTATTCCTAATATTTAAAAATTATTTGGGTACTTTAAAAATTTTCACCCCAAAATACACTATATTTAAAATATATCTAAAGGTGAGATCTTAACCTACTATTAACCATTTCGTTAACTAAAAACCTTAAGTCTTTCCTGCACACACAGACCAAAACTACTTTGTGGTGAGACCAACGGCTAGATTTCACTGTTTTGATTCACATATGTTACTTCACACGGGCTTGACTGGTTGGAAGAACTGACTATTTTTTAAACTGCTGAAAACTCCATCTAAATCTTTAACGGATAAACTCTTAATAAAGTAAAATAGTTCTATAACAAGAAAAATAAGAAATTTCATGTAAGTTGTATTTAAATATTACAGAGCTCTCTTGTATGAGATTAAATAGCAACTGTCAAAGCCCAAGACTCTTCCCAGTTTAATTTAATTGTCTGGATTTCCCTCACAGAATGAAATCGTGGACCCACTTTCCTAACTCCTTCATTCCTGTCTACTGCCCTTTGGTGTCTTTCTAGCTTTTCGAGAGAGGGTAAATAGTTTAAAAATATGCCTAAATATATAAGTGCATAAGTATAAATAAGTAGAAATACCACAGGCATAACCAACTCAGTAAAACTGATAAAAAACTATTTTTTTGTACTACTATTGTTTCACAACTAGGTGTAACCTATAAGGAAGGAAAATTTCTTCCTTTTCACTAAAATATCTAAGGCGAAAAACATTTGGGAACTTTACAAACTCTAAAAAGACACACAATAAGGCCACTAATGTCAATCTATGCTGGGCCACCAATGGAAACTGATCCAATCAGAAGGAAAAAGCATTTGGCAGGAAAATAACTAGGTTTAAATCCATTTCCTAAGGGAATAATTCTTCAGATGAGTTAATCCATCTTGTTATTATTCAACACTAATCTAGAAGTTCATCAGACCAGTATTTCTTAATGCTATGAAACTTGGTTCACTGAAAACCTATTATGTTCCAAGGCAATGAGATTTCAAATACCAGAGTATATATTTATTCCAAATAATATAAGCAAATTATTATTTATCTTCTAGACACTGTAATAAGTAAACACTTCACTTATATTAACTCATTTAATTCTCAAACCAGCCCGATGGAGTGGGCACAGAGAAGTAAAGTTATTTGCCTAAGGTCATAGCTAATAGGTGACAAATATTAGGTGTTTCTAATTCAACACTAGTGTTCTATAAGAAAAAGTGTTAATACTCCTTGTCTAAGGCAGCAATAAGGAAGTATCTAACCTTTCTAGTCCTCGTATCTAATCCTAGGAATCTGAGTTAGAAATGGAGCAGATTAAAAGAGTCACCTATGGCACCATGGGAATGGTGCAGCTGTCTTCCACTGTGGGAAAGGGCGAGAACCCAAACCTGTTCTCAGCATAGCCACACCACTCCCATCCAGCTGAGATGAATAAAAATGTAAATTGATGGGGAAATGTCTGAAAGCTGTACATTGAGAAAACTTTTTCATGACACCTGGAAAATTGACATTTAAAGCATTTTCTTTCTAGGCCAGCAATAAGCAATTTTGCACTTATGTCAGCCAAACTCCACTTTATTTTATGGAAGACTGACTTTCTCTGTATAGTTAATTTTCAATGGACCTTTTTGTATAACCAAGTGATACAAAAAGAACAAAAGTTATGACATACATTAGTAATTGCTATAATATTGAAAGTTCACTTAGAAAGTATAGTAACTGATACACTCCTGAAATTAAAGAAATGCTTAAAGGAATGATTTTTCTAAGAAAGTTGTTTTTTTATGCATTACTGATTTTGTGTTTTTCATGCACTAAAGAAATTTTATGGTTTAGATAACTAACCATTCTCATAAAGAAGAATCTAGGAATCTACTAGGTTAAAAAGAGACAGTGGACAAAGAAGAATTAAATATACAATGGAAAAAACAAAAAAATAAAATGAACAATCCTTCTTTAAGAGCAGCATGAATGTATGCCACAAACAAGACTCGATGGACGTTTGGAGTACCCAACATATACAACCACTTTTTACCAAGGACTAGAGGTCTTGAACCACAAACGTACGCCTTAGTACAAAAAACCAAAAACTTTTTAGCCCTTTTCCCCATCCATTTTTGTGTTGACAAGTACAAAAGATATAGGAAATAGCTTTTACCATCAGGAAGATCCCTATATCCCCAGATCTCTCAGGGCTATAAACAGTTCTCTTTGGAGACTTGAAACCTGAGCTGCCTTCTCCAAGTTACAAGTGGAGGCAAAGGGTACTACAGTATATATGCCAGGACCTAGCGGCCTTTCATGGAGAACTTGAAATGGGACTACAGAATGATGAATCTAAGTTCCAGGTGGAATACAGAATAAGTCAGAGTCATTACTTTATGATCATAACTTCTATGACACCAATTATGTTATGATTAAGATACTAAGTAAATGTGTGATCTGTAAAAATATAAAGGCTTATAATAACTTCTGTAGAATGATCATATAAGAACTAAATAAAAGAATCTTTAATTCTTTCAAACTAGGAAATTCCAAAATTATATGAATTACTTCAAATCTGTGTACAAGCTGCAAGCATTTTATCCTTATTTTATCATTTATTCATAGTACACAGTAATTTCACACATAATTTGACCTGACTGGCACTTAATTCAGAATCCTTGAAAATATTTTGAATTTTCTTTAATTGACTATCTCATTTAATCCTCACAATCACCCTTTGAAACAGATGCACTTAATATTTTCTTTTTACAGTTGAGGAAACTGAATCCCAGAACAATTAACTTGTTCAAAGTCATACAGCTATTAAATGTTAGGGCTTTACAGTGCTTTTAAGTAATTTTTAAATATTGGACAATAGTTACAGGTGCTGGGCCTTTAAGGTTTTAAAAAAGCCACTTCAGAATCTTTAAGACTAAAAATTCACAATTACTTAACTACATCTATAGTCATATTAGGATACATACCTCACTGAAAAGGCTTCCATTAACATATGAAATCCAAAGTTTCCAGAAGTTAGGCAGCTGACTTAAAACAAGCTTGGTCAATTTTTCAACAAATGCTACCCGGTGGGGACATTTGTATCTCCATGCTAAGGGAGGTAAAGAATAAAACACTTTGAGTATACTTTTGAATCAGGAATAAAAATCTATTTAAACAACCATATTGCCACTCCCTCACCCAAAAATGTGTTCCACTTTGGATGCAGAGTTTTAATATACTGAAAGCCCACTATTCCGTTCTTCATATTGCACTCGCAGTGCCTGCCTGTGCAGAACACACTCTCACCAGAGGCCCCAGCTTTCCCACAGGTTATGAAAGGCAAGGGAGGGGATGTCAGACCAGAAGGGCACAGAAGCAGGAGCAGGGAAGACTTCATAGAGTAGGATCCTTTGGCTTTTCAACCTTGTTGTCTTCAGGATCCTATATATCTCTAAAAAGTCATGCCTTCAAACAGCTAAGGCAATAAATATTGGCCTCTAGACAATATTTAAATTTGTAACTAATATCAACTTATTAGAAATGCCATTATACATTCTTATGTAGTGAAAAGTCAGCAAGAAGTCAACCTATCACAAAGGAACATATTCAAGCACAATCATGTAATAAACTCCTCCCATAACAAAGAAATTTATGAAAAAAATAAAAATATCGAAGCCTCTGGGGTTACATGTAATTTAATGTAGTTATTGTAGTAAGTGGGAAACAAGATCTTATAGGATTCTTAGAGGAAGAATAAATCCGTGAGAATAAAAACAAACGTAGTAATTCACTGAGTGTGAATCACTTTCCCATCTCTTCTACCTTTCTTAATCACACTCTCTTCCTGCTTCTCTCCCTGCCATGCCCTGCTTCCTGGCCCTGTTGTTCTGCTTCAGAGCCTCTAACACAGGCAGGCAGAGGCTTGCTTCTTCACTGTCCAACTGCATAGCACTCATGAGGAGCCCTTCTGGGGTCAACTTCTAACTTCTATTTGGCAACTTCAAAGCAAGTCAAAAAAGGGAACTTCCATTAATTTCTCCATTAACTACCAGTTTCCTTTAAAAATACCTCCAGGCAAAAAAACTTGTGGTGTAATATTATCCTTGTTATTCTAGGGGAGGAAAGGTGGATTTTATTTATTTTAAAATATTTAATAATTTTCTAAGAATATATAGTTAGAAAAGAAAACTACCACTCCCTCTCATCCCCCATTGTACAGTTCATAATTCCAACCATAAAAAGCCACTGTTAATAGTTTCTTGTGATTCTTTCAGAAATGTCTTTTACATACAAAGGCAAAAAGAAATATGTATTTTGCCCCCACTCAAATGTTCTTTTACACAAATAAAAGCGTACTAAAACACTCTTTTGACATAGCTTTTTATCGTTTAACAATGAGTCCTAGAGTTCTTCCATACTCATACATAAATGCTTCCTATTTTTCTCCCTCACCAATTACATAGTGTTTCATAATTAGTAAGCCTCCTTCTAATGGATAGGACTGTTTTTAATCTTTTCCAGTTAACATTAATGCTTCAACCAATAAGCTACATATCAGCATGTGTACAAGTACAAATGCTCCTCAACTTACAATGGGCCACATCCCAATTAGCCCATTGTAAGTTGAAAATATCGTAAGTCGAAAAGGCACTAAATACATCTAACCTAGCAAATGTTAGCTTAGCCTCACCTACCTTAACCGTGTTCAGAAGCCAACATCCAAAAATTGCTGGCAACACAATACACTATAGACTCAGAGTATCAACTGTTTACCCAATGACTTACTGCCTGGCTGACTGAGAACTGTGGCTCACCATGCTGCCAGCATCACAAGACAGTGTCACATTGCATATTGCTGTCACAGGTGTGCACAGGTGTGCACAGGTAACCAGGTTCTTAGTGATCGAGGACAAAGAATTGAACCGAACACACAAAGTTTATAGCATAAAGAAAGAGGGGAGGTTTATTAAGTGATAGTACACACCACAGGACACGGGAGTGAGCCAGCTCTGAGCAGAGGAAAAAAAAAGGGCACGTGGGCTGGGGGGATTCTATTCTTATAGAGGCAGAAGCCCCCCTGCTAGTCTTTGGCGGGCTTTTTCCTGCGCAGGTACAAGGAGTTGGATTTCAAAGCTACTGCGCATGTGTGGTTTCCCATGACTTTCTTGATTGGCTACTGGAGAAGGGAGTCCCACAATGTTATTTCATTATAATGATATTATAATGAATCAGGGGTAGCGCGCAGGCGCATTCTATGATTCAGAGTTATCCCAGAAAACAGGAACAACCCGTCTTAGGGGGGTCTTTGTCATGTATAGGTGTTTTCTACCTCAGCCCTGCGGGGCCTCTGGAGCTTCCTTCCTGACTACCTCCTGCCTCAACTTCCCCCCTGAGAGACATGGTTCTCAAAAATCTTTTTGGGGTTGTTGAAGGATGAAGATCCGTCTTCCATAGCTGCTTCAGGCTTAGATTGGACAGTAGACCCTGCCTATTGAGAACCACGGAACTCTCGCCCTATTCTATCTAGAGGTTGAGGAGGAATTCCTGAGGCCACCGCAGATGCTGTATGTTGGTCAGCTTCAACATCGTTCTCAGGGATTGGTTGGAAACCTTGGAGCGTCATCAGTTTGACGTGGAACTGCTTAAGTCTAGAAGAAACAAATTTAACAAGTAGATTAAATAAGCAAGGTCCTAAAAGTAGTAAAACCAGCAGTGTTATTAAGGGCCCTAAGAAGGGTAATAACCATGTTAAGCCAGGGAACCAGGAGGTCAGGGCTTCCTTAATCCCTTGGCCCTGTTGATTATACTTATGTAGCCATTCTGCCTGTTCATAAATTTTCTTTATGTTAGTTTCGATCATTCCAGAGTTATTTACATAGGTGCAGCAGGTTTTATTGATAACAGCACATACCCCTCCTTGTTCTGCTAGAAGATAGTCAAGGGCAAGGCGGTTATCCATGACTACATTTGCCAATGAGTCTACTGATCTTGAGAGTCCAGCTAGAGTACCAGCAGTATCTTTGGAGATTTCTTCTATAATCTTAGTGAGTTCCCTTAGAGTGGCCTCATGATAGGCGAAGCCTCCCCAGGGGGCTGCAGCGGCTATAGTGGCAGCAGCTCCAGCCACTACTAGACCAAAAGCTCGTTTTTTTCTGCTGAGAGATGGACTCCCAGGACCCATGGTTATATTTATAACAGTAAGGTCTTGGGGTGCCAAGGTCCCTAAGGTACAGTCACCCCCATGTTTAGAGTTGCTGAGATGAGTATAAGCAATAGCTTCTTGAAGTTCTGAATGATCCGTTAGCCAGTTATTGGGAGTCCCACATAGCCAGACAAGCCCCGGGGGTGCTGCAATAACTGTGGCATTAGTGGAGTTATATTTGTTAAGGAGGGCATATGGCAAGGGGGGAAAGGCAGTCCTTAAAAGGGCCTAAGTTATTTCCTTGATCTTTCCCCCCTGCAGGAGGTGGTAGAAATTTTGCTAATACTCCTTGAAGAGATTGGTTTAATTTCCAAGTAACACATTTAGAAGTATCGTTTGTATCTGCATTGTGAGTTTTGTCAAAGCAACAATGGGTACTATTAGGAATACAGTTAGAATCATAATTCGGGTAGCATACTATATGTGACCAATTTAAAGGTTTGAAAATTTCTTCCTCAGAATGATTCTCTAGAAAGCTGGAACTTGAAAGAGAAGCCAGGGCTTTAAATGGGTCAATGGCCCTTGTATGAGTATTATTATAACATGGGGTACATCCCATCGTACTGTTGCACTTAAGAGAGGTGCTGGAGTAATTAAATGGCTTTAATTCTAGTGGGGTCATATGGAAACACAAAGGAGGATTTCGCTCCCATGTGACTCTTAAAGAAAAAGAGGAACACGTGTAATTGGCAGAGGAATTCAAAGCACTGATTAAGGATTCATTAGCTATTGGGTAGGCTTTTATATGAGTATTATATCTGGAAGGAGTTTCCGGGTTAGGATGACATATCCAACATTGGGCCAGGTTTTCTCCTGCTGCTAAGGTTCGAGAAGCATTCACTAGAAAATTTTCATCCCATTCCGTTATACAGGGTGCAGGCGAGTAGAGAATGGTTAATAGAAACAACAAAGACATTTTCATTTTAACTGGATTTTAACCGGTAATGCAGTCTTTGCTCTTCCAGGAATCCCTGACTCCCAAACTAGTGGGTTTACTGCATCCAGAACTGAACTTGGGATTTCTTCCTGATTTCGAACACTACTGATTATCATCACCTTACTTAACTCAAATGGCACTTCAGGGAACAACAAGATGGTTCCCATCTGAGCTAAAAGGTCCCGGCCTAACAGAGGAATAGGGCACTGAGGAACAATTAAAAAGGAGTGTTTGAATATTCGACTCTCAAATTGGCAAGTGATAGGGAATGTATAAAAATATGCCTTAGAATTTCCTTCGACCCCCATTACCTTAACTGATTTGGAGGAAAGAGGTCCAGAGTAAGAGTTAAGGACAGAGTAAGTGGCCCCTGTATCAACAAGAAAGTCGATTTTCTTACCTGCCACATCTAGAGTTACCCAGGGCTCCTCGGTAGAGATGGGAATATGGAGTATTCCCTGGGGCCGACCTGTTCCCCGGGCACCTTCAGTCCTCAAGAGTAGCCATGGCCTTGGGAGATGACCCCTTTCCACTATGGGAGCGGGGGCAGTCTACCTTCCAGTGCCAGGGATCAGAACTGAAGTTCTTGCATAGAGGACAGGGCCTCGGAGGTGGCTGAGTGCAGTTCTTTGACCAGTGTCCAGGGCGCTTGCACTTATAACAGGTCTGATCCTTTTGCCGCCTCCCGAGCTCCCCTGATGGGGCTGGTTTCCGCCAATGGCACTACTAAAGGCTAGTGCAAGGAGCTCTGCTTGCCTCTCCCTTTCCTTCTTTCCCTGTTTTCTTTCCTCCAAATCCCTATTGTTAAAGACTGAAAAGGCTGTATCCATGAGCTGATCTAAGGGGGTCTGCGGGCCCATTTGTAATTTCTGAAGCTTCCTGCGAATATCAGGGGCAGATTGAATTATAAAATGCTGCCCTATCAAGATTCGACCCTCCGGGGATGAAGGGTCCAAGTTTGTATATTTTT